AAGTCGCTGTTCTGGCGAAAGTCGCCGCAGCTGGTCGGGAGCCTGCCATTCTTTCTCCAGCCCTCGTCGCAGATGCGCCAGCGCTCGAGGCCGACGCGGCAAATGTTGTTGTCCGGGTTCTCGCAGCACTTCTGGCGCAGGTACTTCCAGTGGCCCCCGCCGGCGTCGACGGCGCCGAGGAGGGCGGCAAGGAGGAGGATGGCTTGAGGCGCGGGGATGCGCATCTTTGGCGGTCTGTATTCGAGGTTTGTTTGAGTGTGAAAAGGGTTTGTGCTTTGTAGCGGTAGCTGGTTTGCTTGGAATTTGATGTATGTCGGTGACAATGACGACGACGATGATGATGATGATGATGATGATGATGATGATGATGATGATGATGCTGAGACGAAAAAGATATCGAGACTGCGATGTCCCTGATATATTATACATGGTGCTTCGGGTAACGGAGTTGGGCCAGTCTCTTTTCTTTGGTCGTGTTTCTGCCTGCTCGATGTCTACCAAGGTGACGAAGAACCCTTTCGGGCCCCATGGTCCAGTCGGAGCATCTTTATATGGACATCGCGGTCCTCTGTTCCAAAAAAACAAAACAAAAAAACAAAAAAAACCGACCGGAGTAAAATCCAGCTCCGCCTTAAGATCCAAATCCTCCCTGGTCAACCTCCGTCGCGTAGCCTCTAGCTGGGTGAAGCCATCGCCGACGTCGGTAGGGTTCGCCAGTCTAAGTTTCTTGTCGGAAGAGAAACCCGAGAGTCCTCTTCGCTCGGCACTCCAAGCCGAACCTGCCGCTTTTTAACTTGGTGCTAGTGTTTTGATCAAAGGATGACGTGAGTTTGAACCGAGCCAGTTCTCCTCACTTACAGCCGATATGCCGGAAGAGCCAGAACCAATCTCTAAAACGTCTTTTCTTCATACATCAATTGATCGGTACATAAATAGAGCAACAGTATTCTGACTCGAGATGATAAACTGTTGCTTCTCCCAAATTAGATCATAGGACTTGGCTCGAGACCTCGACCAAGCACCGTCTCGTCTGCAACTGTGGCCCAAGCGTGAAGAAGAAAAGGCCGAAAGAAGGGGGAGAAAAAAAAAGAGAGAAAGAGAGAGAGAGAAAAGCTTTACCAAGCCCTTGGTCACACCCTCGTTGCTTTTCCGAACAAACTTTACATCATACAACACCAGTCGACTCTTAAAAGGCTTTTCGCGCAGTGTCATGAGTCAGCGCCGACCAGGAAACACCCAAACGCAGTCAGTCCGTGATGTGCCCGCCTGGCCGTAGATGCCTCGCCTGCCCCCCTCCCTCATCCGCCGCGCGCATGCCCTCTCCCCGCACGTCGCGACCCTGCTGCCGGCGTGCCGCGATATCCCCTCCGCTGTTACAGAGCTCCGTTGGATCAGGTCGCACGTCGCCAGCAGCGTCCCGGCGTGGGGTGGTGCAGAAGCCAGCGTCGCTCGGCTCTGCGCGCGACGTGGCCGTGGCGTGCCGCTGCAGTACGTCCTTGGCTCCCAGCCCTTTGGCGCGCTGGACATCAGGTGCCGGCCCGGCGTGCTCGCCCCGCGCGCCGAGACAGAGGCGTACGCGCTGCACCTGGCGGAGATGATCGGCTCCGGCCGCCTGTCGCGCCTCCGGGACAGGGAGCTGCGGATCGTGGACTTTTGCACCGGGACCGGGTGCATCGCGCTCGTGCTGTACGAGGGCCTTGCGCGGCGGGCGGCGAGACTGAGCGTCACCGGGGTGGACGTCTCGCCGACCGCGGTGCGTCTTTCACGGGAGAACCTGCGGCATAATGTCGGCGCCGGTGCGTTGCTCCGGCCTACCCAGGAGAAGAGCGTGTCGTTCCGGCTGGCAGACGTCTTTGACGAGGCGGCCATGGCAACAATCCCCCAGTGCGATGTTCTGGTGTCGAACCCGCCGTACATCTCGCGCAAAGTCTGGATGTACGGCCGCGGTCAGATGGGCTACTCTGTGCGGAAGTACGAGCCGAGACTGGCTCTGGTGCCGGGGGACATGACGCCCACGTACGACGGATGCGACCATGCCGATGTCTTCTACGCTAGGCTGCTGGACGTTGCACGCCGGCTGCGGCCAAAGGTTCTGTTGTTCGAGGTGGGAGACCAGGAACAGGCAATCAGGGTTGCGAGGCTGGCCACGAGGAGCGAATACACCAGGCAGGCGACCTGCGAGCTGTGGAGAGACTGGCCAGACTTGACGCCCGAGGAGGACGAGACTACTGAGCTGGATATAGGCTCAAGGTGTGTTACAGTGAAGGGAAGCGGAAATGTACGATCAGTGTTTGTGTTACTGTAGAATACAACGCGCCTACATAATAAATGCCAACGTCGCCAAATCCTAATCGCCAGAAGCAAGTCAAATAGGAAGTCTATCAGTCACGGTACAAAGAAGTCATTCAGGCTTTTTAGAAATAGTGTCAGCACGCAAAAACTAACACTGCCCACCCAGCCTAGGTGGGTAGGTAGGTATTCACCAGTGCAACGTCATAAACGGCAGCGACTACCTACCTACCTACCTACCTACCTAGAGAGAGAAAGCGCGAGGCTGGGCCCATCGGATCGGGGGAGCAAAAGTAAATTCAATGCCCACACATCGTATGAGGCATGCTCAACGCGTTGCAAAAATGAAAAACAGAGCCATATATAACCACGACAAAAGATTCGATGCCCAAAAATCAAATGCCCAGCGTGATGGCCGGATGACCGCCCGGCCTTGCAATATGTCGGCTGCCCACATGCTGTAGATCTGATGTGAGCACATATGCACGCCTCTCCTAGTCCGATCCTCAGCCAATTTGATCAACCCTCACCCCACCTTCACCAAGTTGCACCCCGTAGACAACCTGTGAAGGGACGCGACGAAACAGAGGGCAATATCGAGTATATTGCACCAAAACGAAGGTGACGAAGGTGAAGTGGTCCTAGGCTGACCAATAGGAGGCCGCGGGTGGGTCCACACCACCCGGGGCTCAACACAACCCAACCCCGACCTGGCATAGGGAGCTAAGAAGGGCACCGCCACCACCAACCAGAGACTGTGGCTTAAGCGAGGTTATTACGTCATCAAAAGATTAGCTACTCAACCCGATTTTAGGGGCATGCTTTGTACTCAGATCACGATTTTTCAGAGCCAACCAAGTCACCACCAAAACATAAAAAGAAGAATTGATCGTAACTCTGAATTAAGCAAAAAAGACTAATGCCCAGAGGCGGATTCGAACCGCCGTCAACACGGTCGTTGTAAGAAGGACCACAACGTATCATCCTAACCAACTAGACGATCTGGGCCAGCTGTTATTGTTGAGAGAGCGGGAGAGTTTTCTGGTTATGAGATGAGCGAGCTAGTGCTGATGTAAGCTTCTGGCCGGAGAGGGTTGAGCCACGCACTAGTCCAATCTAGGATTAGCGTCTAGAGCGGATCGAATGTCATGGTTCAGTCTGGGTTAGGGTTGGGTTGTGGAATTGGTCTTTTCCCTGGGCGGTCCACTGTCCAACTCCCTCTATAGCATTAGCGATTCCCCGCTGTCTTTGGGGGGGCATTTTGTCGGCTACAGTGGCGTTGCGGGCCTATAACCACCTGTTGTCTCCCTTGTGTCCTGAACCCCCGGTGAAGGTCATTCATTTCCCAAGAGGAATTGACCTTGACGCCACTTGTTGCACTCTAATTAGCCAGAGACATAATGTCTTTGCCTCACATAGATCTATCTGATGGACCCTGACGACCCTGTCCAAACTTAGACAACGGGGTCCACGCGGGGCATCCCATTCCATGGAGGGAGGGAGGCGTGTCCAACGTGCGAAATGCGTGCCATGGAAGACTCGCATATTTGCCGCTCGCCACACGTGTGCTTCACCGGAATGCTGGAGAACGGGTATCCAGATGCCTTGAAGCTAAAGAGTGCCCCTTGCGAGTCTCGCGATACCTGCGCGTCATTTGACACGCGAGGCGGCTTGTCATATCCCCTCTGAAGTCGATCGGCAGAACAGGAGATAAGAGTCCAGGATTGGCGGTGATTGGCATGCTTTTGGAAATTGGCCGAGTGGCACTGTGGTTGAGAGCGCCCGCTGTCTCTAATGATAGGATTCTGATATTCCCATGCGCGAGAAGAACTGCTGGTGCAAACCACGAGCACAATGCCGTCCGCGATTCGATGGAAGCAGCTCTCGGATGGGGAGCACTGCGCGAAAGATTCACATTCTATTCATGCTTTGAAAACCAATTTACTACTTCTCATTCTCCAACTGCCGTTTAACAGGTTGAGGGTTTGCCGCGGCGGCTACGAAGCCTACGAGATTCCACCTTCAAGGTCAATACTTTCGCTGGTCTAATATGCTAAATCAAGGCGGCCATTGCACACTGTCAACCGGGACGGGCCTGCGGCGGGGACCGATACGGCATTCGGTGCGTCTTCTTGCGCGCTCTTCACCTTAACGACGTCCACGACCTCATGGATAACGTGCTGGTAGGAGAGCCAGACGGGTTCCCGTCCCTACGACCTGTGACTAGAAACCTTAACAAGTCTTGACTTGAAGTCGATACCGGCATGGATGAACAGCAGCTTGATATGCAGGCGTGACGGTATCCGAAAGCAAAAGGCATCTTCCTCTCTCCCTCGAAATGTGGCCGCTGTTGACTTTCGCTGCTTGCATAAAGCTGTCCGAGGCCGTGTGAAATTCATCAGCCAGCAATTCAAGCCCGCAGGCTTGGTCGGACCTGATGACAAGCTGATGACTAACGGGGTTACCTCACTTATTGATCTTATGGTAATTGACGCGTGCGATCTTGGAAAGAAGTCCTAACACACACACTGACTTACATGATGCGGCCATATGACGCTGGCACTCTTGAATAGGGGGAGAGCACAACAAGGTCTAACTACGCCGGCTTTATTTCCCTATAGACATAGAGGAAAGTATCTGAAATTGAAAAAGAAGAAAAGCGCCTGTTCAAGTGGCAAATATGGAAAAAGATGAGAATCTGCAAAAGTGTTTGACCAGCCTGGGGGTCGAACCCAGAATCTCCTGATAGCAGACTAGAGCCTCCAGATTCAGTTCGAATGTGGAGGAGTGGTCGTAGTCAGACGCCTTGCCATTGGGCCAACCGGCCGTTTAAGATGTTTTGACTTTTGCAAAAAGTCGGATTCATATAGTGACGCATTTTTCTGCACAGGGAATCGATGTCACTTCGCCATTACCATCCATATACAGTTAAATCTCACTCTCTATCTCTTTCGTATGATAAATCTTGCGGCTGTGTTTGAGGTATTACCGCGTCTGTTTGAGAGTATCTTTCTTGGTCGTCGTATCAATTGGCGGTAGAGTCTCCAATCCCTAGGAATTGACTTCTGTGGATACTCGATATGCACTAAAGCGATCCACCCAAATGGGCATTTCCTGCTCACTCGTACTTTGGACAGCACCGTTCCTTTCACATGAGGGAACAAGATGGAAATTTGTGACTAAACTGTCCAGGCCAACCAGAAATGTCATCTCACAAAGTTCCCTAAGAAGAAGAATTTGGTGATGGGCACATTGTTGACCACTAAAGATGTCGTTTCCTGACAGGCCGGTCGCTCACCTGCTGGGCTCGAATGGTGAGTTATGTCGACTTTCATGGTATTGGCATGCGCGCGAGGCTGCTTGTCGACCGGCATCTGGCCGTAGCTGAAGCACATAATTCATCGGATCAAATTCCTAACCTCCAATAGGACCCGTTCACGCCGTCACGTACTCTGCCTCGCCAGGCACCTATATCCTCACCGGCTCAGCAGACCGCAACATCAGGCTCTACAACCCGGCATCCCACGACCAGCCCGCGCGCTACGGGACAACCATCACCAGCAAGAGACCGCCCGGGGCCACCCCGACAGTCCCAGAAGGCCGCCTCATTCAGACCTACGGCGCCCACGGCTACGAGGTCCTTGACCTGACCGTTTCATCGGACAACGAGCGCTTTGCCTCTGCCGGCGGCGACCGCGCCGTCTTTCTCTGGGACGTCGCGACGGCTACCACAACGCGCCGCTTTGGCGGCAACGCGCACGGCCACACGGCGCGCATCAACTGCGTCTCCTTCGCCGGCGAGGCCGACTCTCTCGTCGTCTCGGCAGGTTTCGACACGAGCGTGCGCGTGTGGGACGCCAAGTCCAACTCGGCCAAGCCCGTGCAGGTCCTCGACGAGGCCAAGGACGCCGTCACGGCGCTCGCTGTGCGCGACGCGGAGATCGTGGCGGGCAGCGTGGACGGCAGGGTAAGGAGCTACGACGTGCGAATGGGGCGGTGCGTGGCGGATGTCATCGGCGCAAGCGTGACGAGCCTGAAGCTCACGCGTGACGGGAAGGCCATGCTGGTCAGCTCGCTGGACAGCAAGATCCGCTTGATGGACAGGGAGAGCGGGACGTGTCTCAAGACGTATGCGGATGGCGGGTGGAGGAACGAGGAGCTGCGGGTGCAGGCCGTGCTCGGCGGTAAGGAGAAGTATGTCATTGCTGGCGACGAGCTCACTGCCGGCACAGGGCCGGCGGGGCTGAACGGTGATGGCAAGATGTGGGCCTGGGATCTGCTAACGGGTCGGTTGGTTGCCACCGTGAGAGTGCCCTGCCCAGAGGGCTTCGAGCCGAAAAAGAAGCTGCTAGGAAAAGACGGCAAGGAAAAGGAAAGAAGCAACGTTATCAGCTGCATAGCGTGGAGGGACGACGGATGGGGGGATCAGTTCTGCGTCGGAGGCACGTCAGGAGTCGCCACCGTCTTCGGCTCACTGTAGCGGCGTGTTTCATCACGATGCAGCAGCTGCTGGAAAAACATTTACTTCTTCTTCTTCTTCTTCTTCTTCTAAGACGTTCATGCTTCTAGCCTCATCTACTCAAATCATACAGAGTCATGTCCGTTTCTGACCCCGTGGTACTTTACACACGCATGGATGTTCCGCAGACGCCCAACACCATTGTACCCAGATGCCTCCTGGAAATCGCCCAATTGGTGCCAACCAAACAGATTAATATGAACAGCAGCCACCCCTCACTGAAAGGTCGCTCAACTAGTCCATGCCGACATATTTGAACCAGTTCGGGCGGCAGTCGTCCTTGTGCAACCAAGCCTCACCGTCGGTAAAGCGGCCAGTCACACAGCCCTTGCACTTGTTTGAGTTGGGGCAGTTGAAGAACGGGATGTGCTGGTATCCGATGTCACGGAACCTGACACGTGTTAGTCTTGCACCCTCTCATATTCTTGGGTTGGCAGAACTTACCAATGGATCTTGGACTTGTCCTCAAAAAGACCCAAAGCAATGCTGTGGACGGGGGCATCGCCCCACCGCTCGTAGAAGAAACCCCCAGCGCGGTCCAGGTGTTGAAAGTAGTCCTCATACGCTTGGCTGCGCCAGAAGTCAATATCGGCGATTTCGAAGTTGCTCCAGAAGTGGCAGGTGGAGTAGCCGTTTGCGTCCACGTTGTTCTCAGGCCGGCGAGTCTTGTCAGTGAGCCAGTCCAGGGCGTTGTTCTCGTGAAGGTACTCGGGGTGCTGGGCAAGGAACTTGACGGTCTCGGGCCACAGCGTCGGGATCGACTTGGGTGCGTCGTACAGGTTGATGGTGAAACCGTACGTCTTGTTGTTATCCTGCATGTATCGGAAGACGTCGTAATCGACATCACAGAAGAAATGAACCTTGGGCTCGACGCGCCAGTAGTACTTGGTGTGCTGCAGGGCGGGATGTCTGTAGAACATTCCACTGTTCCAGCGGCACATCGAGTGGTACGAGATCTTGTCGGCGTATTGGATATCGTTTTCCTTGAGGATCTTGACGGACTCTTCGTAGAGATCTTTGTTGATCCACGACGGCATCTCCCAATGCTCCTTGGGAATAAGCTCTACATGCGAGGGTCAGTCCAAGTATCGCGGCGGGGAGATTCGCGAGTGCTTACCGTATCTGCACTCGGCCTTGGTGGCAGCCTGGGTCCTCCTCTTGAACTCGTCGGTGAAGGGAACCTCGTTGAAGAAGGTCCAGGGGTAGTTGAACTTGTGGTTCCATGTGCTCTCGAGGTCGACCATCGACTGGATCATTCCATCCAACTCCTCGTTTCTGACCAGAGCGAGCAAAGTTGCGTTGATGCGCGCAGAGTCTTTGGCGTCGGGGGCGTATTTGTCGGAGGCGTACGTCAGAATGCCTTGAGGCTCCCCGGTGGCTGTGTGGAGATGCAAAGATTAGCCTTCTGTGCAAGGTGCTTGCGTGCTTTGCAGGCGCAACTCACGATCGAGGTTGGGGTCCCGTCCATTGTCGTAGCGCACTGGCTTCTGGCCTATCGGCCTTTCAGGACCAAATATCTGGTAAAGGAAGAAGCACCACAGCATCACGGCAGCTAGGGCCAGAGCTCGAACTGGCCGGGCGACCGCCATCTTGGGTGAAAGGTCGAATGCGAGCTAGCAATCTCAATATGCTGGCGTCTGCCCGGATCGCAACCCTACGGGGGCTGTCAGATTCGAGGTCCGCGCGAGTATCGATGACTAGCGGAAAGGCCAGGTCGTCGAAGTCGGATAGTGGGAATTCTCGGTCGCGGCTCGTGCCGTCGTTTTTTGAGGGTCGCCTAGAGGTGTGTGAGGAAGATTTGCCAGCTACCAGGCTAGGTTGATTGCGACGCGTAAAATTCGAAAAAGGGGCTCGATGGCAATCGTTCCCGGTTCGTTGGCTGGTTGAGGCTGATGTCACCCCCATGAAATTTGCCAATTAGCGCACGGTATTGCGAGGATCGAGGCCTATGGCCCATCGGCGGCTGCTCCAGTAATCTCATCCCTGTACGCTAGCGATAAGAAGAGAGGGCGGCACCCCACCGCCCCTCCCGCCCTGCGTGTCGCGTGTATCAACTGTCACAAGCCCCAATGGACGCGTCTTCCGCCATGCGAACAAGTGGTATTCATGCGCCTCTTCAATGCCCAACGTCGATGATTTGAGCCTCAGAATCACTCGCCAGCAATTTGGCTCTTTCGAAACATCATGGCATTCGCTGCGAAGCTTGGCGCCTTGACCGAAGAGCTTGTCGAGGTCATTACGTCGACAGCAGACAAGGTGGGAGGCAGTTCGTCTCATCTCGCATTTCTGATGGGATGCAGCTCGGCCCGTCGCTAACATTATGCACAGAAAACTAGTCCGGAGAGGTTCAATGTATTGCGCGAGTCTGCACTGCGCAGCGTGAGGTACCACAGCTTCTTGCGCACCAACCAATTCGATGTCGAAAGCCAGCTTGTTGGGCTAGAGGAGCGCTTTCGAGTCCACCATCGCGAAGGTTTGGCGGATGCCTTTAGAGAACGTCTCGACGCACTGTCACAGTTTCGAACGAAATGGCATCCCGATATCTTACATTTCCTTCTCGAGCTAGCCGACCGACCGACGCAGAAGACTCGGCTGAGCGATCTAGAACTCCTGAAGGAACCCGAAAAAGATACCGAACCGCCATTGAGATGGGAGGATATAGCGAAAGAGGATGGCTGGCACGAAGATGCCGACATATGGAAGTCTATCGATTACAGCGATCACTCTGGCGATGAATACGGCGATTTGAAGTCAGAAATATCGAGCGAATCCGACGACACGTCGCTCTCAACACTCGATCCCTCGCCCAGCAGGCGACCAGAGGATTTCGAGATTACCTCTTTCGATGAGGCAGCTCTGAAAGAGGTTCAGGACAGTCAGGCCTGGAGAACACAAGCGAAAACTGAGTCCTCGACACGACAACACAAGGTACCCATTACCGAATTTCAGGCGGCAAGAGAAGCCCTGTTTATGCTACAAGGTCTCCCGACGACACTGTTCCTAAAAGACGGCATTCCCGATCCAGTATACCAGATTTTGAGCGTTGCTTGGGATACCTACAAGGCTCTAATCACTTGCTTCGCTGAAAGTGGACGCCAACTTTTCCTACTGCGTTCATTCTCGAAGAGGGCGCAAACGGCGCCTCTCTTTCAGGTCTTTCGCGACAACGTTTTGGCTAGTCTGCAGTCGTTTGACAAGAAGATATCGGCTATTCAGGAGCGACTGGCAGTAGCACGGGAAGATACAATCATCAGCATGGCGGCAATCTTGGAAGAACTCAGGCCTCACTTGGAGCCTCTGAGATCTCT